CAACTATAGCTGACGAGCAGAGAAAATACGTCCGCACTGCACGACCGAATATGCGAATTACGTAAATTAAATGTGGACTAAGGCATAACAAATTTCATACGCGTCTAAAGCTATACGAACCATGTGCAGACTGCCTAACTGAACCTTGATAATTCTGCAGATTATTTAGATGGTTATAAATCACTTATCAAAGCATTTAATTCTTCTTAGGTGAAAAGCCTTGGCGTTTTAAACGCTACTCCTTTGAAATCGCTGTCACTGCTTACCTCAGTGTAGATTTCTTTGAATGACATCTCACGGATGTAACAAAAAGTTCGAATAGGTAGTTCATCTGAATATGACAGGGGCTTTCTAGCCTCGATGAACAACTTTTTAAAATTTTCACATTTTCGAAACTTTTTAACTAAGTATGTATTCACCACAAATGTAACAAAACATGCTTGGCTCTTTAAGACAGCTTCTGCCGGACAAAATCATGTTCTAAAATCAATTTATTTATAAAAATGTACCAATAAGACTTCAAAGTATTAATTACAAACTGACGTTAAAAATCAAAACTGCAGGTACAAAGCAACATTTTTATTTTAATTGTTGGCCTGTATAATTATATTTGAGCCTCAGAAATTCATAAGTTCAGATTCTTTGAAGAGTTGTTGGTCGTTTTTGTAATACAAATTTTTGGTAAACTCTTAAAGAAGGTTGTTTACCCCGACACCATGCCCATATTCTTTAGTTTTTCTGACGTTGCAAAAAAAGTTATGAAACACGTTAAAAAAAGCTGCTCATCTATACTTTTACATATTTTTTTAAGGCTGATCCGGCACATGCCGATCACTTTTCTGTAACCATAAGATGCATAGTGGCATAATAACAGTCATACGATTTTTAATATTTCTTTTCAACTGTGGCCACACTGAACAAGGAATGGCGGATGCTCTACGATAGTTTTTCAAGAAAAACGACATTGACATACGGGATTGTTCCGGGTAGTCATACGATAATGCGCCAAACAGGATTGTCGCCCCTAAAGAAGTGTAAGCTCTGATACCCAAAGAGAATAGCATTGCAGCTTACATTCTATGCTGCGCACATCTCTGTGGGGCTACCCTCTAATGCGATACAAGAGAGAAATGCGATTGACAAAACAAATTTTGGACCAGTCTAATTTACGCGGGTGTACTAATTTTAGCTAATGTATTTCTTCCACGATTTCTCTCTAGAAAAGCTCCTCAGTACTTAAAAGAACTCGAAAGTAAGCAGTACTTAAAAACACTCTGTTCCAATCATCACTTTGATACCTTTACTCAGAATCGATTCAAAGTACTCATATCAGTATTAAGTGCCACATAGATATTTACTTAAAAATACTGAATTCAGAAATCAATGTACTCATTTTCAAATTTCAATAATTTTCTATTAAAATACATTCTTGCAATCAGTAGTTAGCCAATCACTCATTTGACATAAGTTGGGATTAATATATTAATTTGAATACAAATTTGGCAACATATGTATATTTAAAGAAAGTACTCAGTACTCTCAAAAATACCCGCCCCTTAAAAGTATCGATTCCACAGAACTCGATCCTCAATAGTACTCGATACTTCCCAACACTAGTGTATGTTTGCATTAAAGCTCGTTAATTTGTTAATTTTTAACAAATTATTTTTTTTTCTCTTTGCTATTCTTGTGGTTTGTGGTTCAAATCTTATTATCTAAAAGCTCTCATTAATTTGGCACAGACCTATTGTAATGCCACTTTGTGCTAAAATAAAGCAGGGACGTGGGCCGGATGAAAAATTTGGTCGGTTCGGTTCAGCGGCTCGAAACGCTTTTGCACCTTTGGAGTGGTTCGTCAAACCGGTTCGGTTCGGTTAAACGGTTCGGAAATTAAAAATAAAAACTATGTATACATAAAAACATACATAATTTATTGGCTATTTTTCTTTTGTTTACTTAATGTTTATAATTTTTTCACACATTTCGCACTTTGTAAAAAAGTTATAAAAATTTAACAAACTTTCACAATTACGACCAAAAAATTTTAAACTTTTCATTCAGAATTTTTAGAAAAATTTTAGGTATGCAGTTTTATAGGCCATTAAATTTTAGAAAAGTTAAAGTGCAAGTCTAGTTTCAAGACGCTACAAAATCGCGTTGATTTTTAATATATATTTGTTTTTTTTTTTTGGCTGATAAAGTATGCTCAACAATTTCTTTCATATGAAAGAAAATGCACAGCAGCGCCAGCCAAAAAAAGAAGAAAAGAAAAATAAAAATCAACGCAATTTTATAGCGTCTTGAAATTTGCACTTTAATCTACTAAAATTGGGCTATAGAATTGCATACCAAAAATTGTTCTAAAAATTATGAAAAAAATTTTAAAGCTTTTGTGTGTAATTGTTATAGTTTGTTGAATTTTTATAATTTTTTACGATATATATATATGTATATATAATGTACTAGACTTAAAAAAAAAAAACTAGACATTAAATAGAAAAAAGAAAAGTGGTCAAAATCTCACTTATTTTAATCAGCTGACCACAAGGGTATGTCCTACGCTATACATACGTGGGAAAAAATTATCAACTGGCAAAAATAATGGTATTTTCGTATTTAACCAAAAAAAAGTGTTAACAAAAGTGCGGAAAATTTTCCTATTCAAACTTGGTCGTTTCAAGATCGGTTGCCGTCCCGGCACTTAACAGCTTATGAAGAACCAATTACTTTTTACACAAAAAGTTGGGCGATGTTTTCTCCCAGCCAGGATATCCATGTTTCAAGCACCTACATATTTATGGAATTTGTATTCTTACGCAAATAATATAAATTTAACATTTCCAGATAAAAAAAATATACACTCGTACAGGCTTATACAATTTATTTTAATACATCGATATAAAAATTTATGTATTTATATACTAAGGAGTATGTACTGTTATATGTGTGTATATACATATATGTGAGTGTGTGTAAATAAATGATTCGAGAAATTAGCAGACCACCGAATGCTATATATCTAATTTTGATAAATAAATCTTTTTTCTTTTGGTTCAATGTTCTTAAAAAAATGCAAATTTCATAAAATTGAAACGTATTCGTGTAAATTATTCGATACCTAATTTGAAATGGATTTCTATGAAAATTTATTTTTATTGCCGAAAAGCATTTAGCTCATTCAGTTTTTTAACCTACAATGCTTAAAAATATGGTGTTTATTTTTTTTTTTTTATAAAAATATGTATATTAATGCTCTATTGTAGATATTTGTATACGTTAAATGTATTAATGGACAGCGACAACAGCAAGCGTAGATTCCACAATTATTTATCGCCAGACGTGTCTGCCACGCCAAATGCCGAAATGAACACATTAATAACGGTAATTATGAAAATGCCACAAATTGTATAGTTGCTAACTCTGTTCGCATGACACACCTCCTTTTTGTCTTCAATGTTGTAACGACTGGTGAGAATCAAGCCAACACCAACAGCTATCTGTAATTAGAAAATATTGAAAATTAAATTTTCGCTGTGTCTTTAAATCTAGTTAAAAAAAAAAAATTAGTTACTTGAAAAGCAATGCTAAGTATTAGGAGAACCAAGCTCGGATAGTAGTATGGATGTCTGTTGAAGGTCTCTAACACATAGCGCAATTGATTGGCGTTTGCTGTGAGTAATGCTAAATCCATCATACCCTGGGCGAGAGTTTTCTTGTGCGCGTAGGCATTAACATCTACGCTAGCAAGGTCTTCAAGGGCATCCATTTCCTCTGTAAATGCGAAAAGTTGTATAGTGTTCGGTAAGTACTTTTTTCGATCAAATTAGATCTCAAACATTTACATACATACATATACATATGTATATCAAAAACTATATAAAAATATCTATAAAGATTTACCTGGAATTTGTATTGGTCCATCTATTTCGCTTCGTTCTGAATCAATAAAGTGATTATGAGTTAATCGTTCCCTCTCCGACTTAAGGTTTCCGATATTAATCGATTCCTGAAAATATATATATTTTTTAATGCTTAGTCGATATTGAAGTGAATATTAAACAAAAAATATTTTAGCTTCATCTAGGTTTAGCTCAAAAAAAAAAAAAACATTATATATATAATAATGTAACCCCTTTAAAGGACCAGCGCTGCTTTTTCTCCATTATAAAAAGAATTTACACATCCGGAGATTTCAATAACGTCTCTGTCAAGACATGATTGGAGGGTTTCGGTTCAGCCTCAGTTAATCCATCCATATATCACTGGGTTGCAAATCTTTTGAACTGCCGGACAGTGATGGCTGATTGGGGTTCAGTGCTGATGTGCTAGATTAACAGCTTAAACCTGATGATCTACTTAGTGAGTAGTCATCTCTGGCAGATGTCTAAGCTTAATGAGTGAAAGTCTCTAGAGAACATTGAGAGATATTCACAACTGGACTAGAGATGTAAAAGGGCTTGATGAAAATCCATATAAAAGAGATTTCGTACTTTTTACAAGGAAGTAATGAAGGAAGGAAGGAAGCTTTTCTTGAAAATTGCCAAAAATTCTTAAATATGCTTGCCATCAATAGAAATAAATTTCGATGTTATAGAAAAAAAACAAGGCTGTATTTTAATTTACTATACGTAGATATTAAAAAAAAAATAACATAACTATTGTAACCTTAAATTTCGCAGGCTTGTGGTATTGGTCTACGTGAGATCGCATGGAATGATCTAACCTGACTTTGGTATAAGAATATTAGAAATCTTACTAAGGATGCCAGTTTGCAGCAGCTAAGTTTATTTCTTGCAAAAAAATTAAGTAAAATATCACTTTCGCTCATCGTGCCGTAAACGAAATATTTTGTGTGCATACATACATACATAGGAGTTAAACATACATACTATTCGAATCGCTTTGCAAAGACGAAGGAAACACAACATAAAAGAATATTAACCCCAACCGACGTCAATGACATTGCCAAATTCATCAAAATCTCTTAGCTCTGCATGTCCGCACGCATTTGGCGGTTAAAGGAAAAAAAGCCATTACCAGTAGCTCTTTAGAAAACATTAGGACTGTTCAGGATCTTGTGGAAATGGTCTTGGATTGGCAGTTGGAATTGCATTTGCAAATTTTATGCTTACTCCATGGCATTCGATTGTTGTGAATTTACAAATGCAAGAGCATGTGCACAGGATCCTGAACAGCCCTAATATGTATTCACTTTTATAGCAAATTTCCACCAAAGGCTTAACTGCAGTTAGGAGCTCATGTAAGTTCCCAAGAATTTCAACATCGAGTGATCGGTAAAGTTTATACTTAATTAAGATACCATTTTTTAAGTAGGGTTCCCACCTGTTTAGAAATTCATAATTTAACTAACAAGTTAATTGAAATATTTTAATATGCACCTCAAACAATAGAGTTTCGAAAATCTATATTTCGTAAATATTTTCAATGAAATTGACAAGTTAAAAAAAATATTTTAATATGGGTATCAAACGAGACCCTAAATATTTTTGAAGGGGGTTGCCATCAGTTTAAGAGCGGAGACGCAATCAAAAGATATAGAATACATTATACAGTTACTAGTTAAGTGATCTCTCTAGAAAGTTTTATATATATTGATTTGGGTCTTACCAATCAAAAACAATAAAATGTTAGGTAATGGCAATTTCCATAAATGCTCAAAGTCTGTACCTTTTATGAGCTTGTACGCGGGATATAAAATGCTCGGTTCGGCCAGAGCATAGACGTCATTATTTGTTATACTAAACATTGCAAAATACATACATCTATCTTTTAATGTATTTAATACCTCTCTGATATTGGCTCCAATGAACTTGAATTAATAAAATATAATTTGGCCTTTAAATGCAAACACACAAAAATAAGCCTTTTCCTTTGCAGAATGGATATACACATACAGTNGCTCCAATGAACTTGAATTAATAAAATATAATTTGGCCTTTAAATGCAAAGACTTAAGCAGTTTTCCTTTGCAGAATGGATATACATACACAGCATGTTTACATTTCGTGACTAAAAAAATGTACTTATTTTTGTAAGTGCATAGTATGTTTGTACATAGGTAGATACATTAGGGTGGTCCAAAAATGCACGTGAAAAACTAATGTCGGAATCATTATGCGCTCATTTGATAGGATTGTTACACACCTAAAAAAATATACCCCAATTTTATTTATTTTGAAATCAAAAAATATTTAGAGGACGCTCAAAGCGCTCAAAGTTTTCCATGTATTTTATATCGGGAAAAAAACCACTTTTCGTAGAAATGGTATAGTATTTTCGAAAATCAATATTTTTCGATCGGAAAACTTTGCTTCCCTTTAGCAGACTCCCAATTACCAATTTTTTCATAGTAACTATATTTTACAGGTCCGCAAAAACCCCCAGAAAATGCCAGAGAATGCAATTGGGGATAAATAAAAAATCGTTGGTGTTAAAAAACTGTTAAATAAAGAACTGGGTATTATTATTGAAAGTCTCCCGAAGAGAAGTAGAGTTTTCCGATCGAAAAATATTTATTTTCCACACCATTTCTACGAAAAGTTGTTTTTTTTTCCCCCATACAAAATACTTGGAAAACTTTAAGCGCTTGGAGAACTACTTTGATTTCAAAAAAATAAAAATAAAAATAGGGTATACTTTTTTGATAAACCACAACCCTAGGGGGTGAGGGCATTAAAATTTCGACTTTACTTATTTTGAACCACCGTAATGTACATACCTTGCTATTTGAAAATGCTAAGTTTATATACATATGTATTTTATAATCAACGTTGAATAAATTTCCATAAGCTTCGCAAAATCAAACGGTTAAAATGAAACAAAAAACTTTAGTATACAAAAACGCTAATGAAAAACATTATGGGTATTCACGATCCGGTGCATATTGTCTAGCATGTTGCATAGATAGCATAAATAGCATTATTGGCTAGATTTTTGTTGTTGGAACACATGAAAGAACAACAATCACGCTATTTATGCTATCGATGCGCCATGCTAGACTGTATGCACCGGATCGTGAATAGCCCCATTATTTATTACCGCGCTTAATAGCTACATGCAACGCTTGTACTCGCACTCGTAGGAGATTGATTAAGTATCGTTAAGACTACATACATACATACTAACACATAAACAAAATCCTCCGGTTGACTTCACAGGCACACACACAAGCGCATGCACAGTGGCATTAGTCATAGTTTAAGGGAAAAACTTCGAAGTATTTAAAATATATTTACCTCTTCTTTGGAGCCCGAATTTTCGAGCAGTAATCCATTTGGTTGCGGAGCTGTTGCCATTTTTTAATTTATATTTTTTTATTATTTCACGATCTAAAATAATGTATTGTAGCAGTCAATCGCCGTTGGTAATAAAATTGATAAAAAGTCGGCAGGAATTTATTGATGCTGTATATTATTTGGCACAATATGATGCTTTCCAAATTTAGCTGCGCTCCTTTTGGTACTTTTCTTTGTGTTTACTGCGAATACTTATTGTTTTTTTTTTTAATATGCATACATACAACATAGCATACACCTACAAAATCGTAAAATTCTGTACTTTATTATTTGTTATTTTATTTAAATTTTTTTTTGTAGAACGCGTTTGTATTTGCATCAGCACCAGTCACTTCAGCGGACGCCTTCGCGGTTCTCAATGAACTGATTTTTAAAATGCCCTCAGCGTACGATCTCATCTAAGGAGCCTGCTGCTGCTGGCTGATTACTTCCATTGCCTTCCAATAAATTATTTGCCGCTCACGATCGCTAGCGTTGAGATGCGTGAAAGAGTAGAAGAAACTTGGCACATAAAAGCAGGCATAGCTTTGTATACAAAACACGCAGAGCTTCTGTGGTAAAATCCCGGCAAATAAAAAGAAGCATGAGAGCGCATTCAATTTTAAATACCTACATACAAAAGTTTGTGTTTTTATACATACACACGCATTTATTATTGGATTATAAAATTAACAATGCGCTCAGCATCAAATACACCAGTCTTATTGTAGTCGAAACATACGAGCCTACAAATATGCATATGAACACACATATGTAGTTACCTTTGGAGCTCTATTGGAGTAAAATATGCATTACTAATTTTTGATGGAAAATCTGAGATTATGTTGGCCATTGAAAAATCCCCCGTTTATTGTATTCAGGTATGTACATACATATGTACGCTAGCGCCTGTATCAGCATCAACCGAAATTACTTAGTCATAAGACTCGTACATATGTATGTATGTATGTATGTATAGATAAACGTCTGAAGATATTTTTCAAGCATAAACTCGAGCAGAATAACTGCTGGCTGCCTACAGCCAACAGAGAGAAAGTAAAAAAGAAATTTTCATGCTGATTCGTGTGTTTTTAATGAATCTGAATTTATTTTTATGAAATGCAAGAGAATTTCATCTTATTTCCTTTCTTTGTTTCTTGTTGTTGTTTGTATGTATTTACATATATGTATATTTCATTGCTGATGAAATGTTTCAGTTTCCCCCTCATTGGCGCTAGAGAAGAGCATTANCATGCTGATTCGTATGTTTTTAATGAATCTGAATTTATTTTTATGAAATGCAAGAGAATTTCATCTTATTTCCTTTCTTTGTTTCTTGTTGTTGTTTGTATGTATTTACATATATGTATATTTCATTGCTGATGAAATGTTTCAGTATCCCCCTCATTGGCGCCCCCTCATTTTATCGCCGGTTCTTGTTTTCGAAGAAATATGTATGTATGTATGTACATGTCGCTCATTTACTAAAAGACTGTCACAACTCAAAAAACGAAAGTTTTTCAGCAGACACATTCAAAGTTTTCGAATTGCTCCCAGAATGTAGAAATAAAGAGATGCGAAATTGTCTACTTACGCGTAAACAACACAATATTTTAGCACGAAATTAGTACACAATGGGGGTATTCACAACGGTGTCGTAAGTGCGGTATTGTTGTATGTCGCAAACTTTAAACGGTTAAAAATATATTTTGGGAGCTCCCAAGGTACAATAAAATTCATTTTGTGAATTTTCACACTGTTGAAAAATAGTTGGTGTTGGTTTAAATTCTGCTAAATATTTATCTAAACGTTTAAATTTCACGACATACAACATAACGACACTTACGATACCGTTGTAAATACCCCCACTGTGGAAGCATGATAAATATAAGGAGTAAGTCTGTTCCATTTGCCTATAACTTTCATTTAGTAAATAAGCGACATTCATTTAGAAAATTGCATTAACCTAAAGTCAATATGTGTTGAATATTGTTTCATTTATTGATTTAAAATTTCTAATTAGCGAAATTTACATTTATACTTTATTACCGTAGCATTTTGCTAAGGGATGTGCTATTAATCAATTAATCGAGCAAGCTGATAAATCGAAACCCGTTAAATTTATTAATCAAAAAATAGTATTTTTAATTAATTTCTTTATTAATTATATTTTGATTAATCAGAATACTATTTTTTATTTGATTACTTAGAAAACTGATTAATCGTATCCTGATTAATAAAAAACTTGAATTATTGGTATATTATATTTTATTTTATTCAAAAATATAAAAAAAAAAATTAATTATACACGTATGTATATTTACATTTCAAGGAGCTGAATGGTATACATATGTACATATGTATGTATGTGTGCAGATTTACAGTATTGGAATATTGCCATTGTTTGGAGAACCTTTACCAATTTTTGGCATTATGTGGAAGAAGAAAGTTACATTATATTACAGTTTATTATCATTAATAAGAAACATATTTAACACTATCTTATCTGAAAAATTTTCTTTAAAAATTCCTATAAGATAGCCCACTGTCAAGAAAATAAAGAGAAAGCTGTTAATAAATTAATTTAAATTAGATTAAATTACGTAACGTGTTTATAATTTCACCATGGTATTTATTATGCGAGTAATATATAAAAAAAAATTATTTGCTTTGGCAAAAATCAGATTTTACTTGATTGTTTTGAAAAAAAAACAACAATAATCCGAATCTGTTTAATCAAGAATTTTACCAATATAAAAATTATTTAACCGATTAATCTCAAATTCCTAATTTTTGCTACATTTTTTTTATTTGGTTGATTTTTTTTGCTAGAATTTTATACTCTAATGCACCGAAAAAATACCTGCATTTTATGGCTAATTCTAGAGGATGTTTTTATTTAATTTTTTTTTTTCGCTATCGTTTAATCCTACTTCCTTAAAGGGTCAGATTTGATACCATTTTTTTTCGTTCGTGCCAAATAAATGAGTTGAATTAACAATAAATAAAATTTATTTCAAGACAGTTGTTCAACACTGTGAGTACCGAGATGCAGCTCTGATATTTACTGCCTCATTTATGCAAATCATTGGCGTAACGTTTAATTTATTTAAGATCGAAAATGATCGATCTGAAATTTTTCGTAATAAATACTTATATAGTAACACTAGTAAAAAAACATGTGGCAACACTGACTAGAACGGTAAAAGTTTTTGACTGAAAAAATAAAATAAAAAATTCTGATTTACTAGTTTTTACAATGCAATATAATTTGATACCAAAACAATTTTCGCAGTTTTTGAAAATTTGTGCTATTGCATGTAATTTCTTGAGCAATGATTTAGACATTTTAACGCCATACGGATTTACTAGTTTTGCATAATATTTGATTCTAAATCATAAATTGCTAAATACAAACACGATAACTTAGATTCAATATGTAATCATATAAAATCATTGGAATCGTAATTGCACGAAATTCCTAGACTAAAAGTCAATTAGTTTTCTTCTTAAATAATAATAAGCAACTACGTCTTAACTCGCTCAATTTATCAAAGCAACGTGACGTTTAATCGACAAGTATAAATATTTATCAAAATACATATACATACCTACATATAAATGTTCATATTGCATGCATAGTTACGTGTGTATATTATAATCAATCCATCTCCATGCGATTTCTGTATGCACCTATGTAAGAACTCAGGCGCTAAAAATAATTAATTTAATTACTTCAAATGTGGCAGAGCTACTTGTAAGTGTACTCGTACTTACATGCAACAAACTATGTAGGCTAGAAATGTTTTCACAGAACTGTAAGGTCTGGTTTTTTTTGGTTTCCAAGAATTAATTTTGCTATGCACGAAATGTGAGTATGCATACTATGACCTTTGCCATCGGACCCGGAAAACCTTGAAAAGAGCAATTATGCCTTATGACAACGTGTGGCAGCCAAGTTTAACCTACATATATACTCTATCCAGTATGAAATTTTACCAAGACGATATTGATCAGAGTCAATGTTTGGCCCTCGAATCGTTCGTACATGTAGAACACTGCAAACCTATGTACCGTCTGTGACAACGGATATTCTCCTTTTTCGATCAGGAGACAGCGATCAGCTGCTGTCCGTTATTGGACGGTTTGTCAAGGAGGCCAAATTTTCTAAATGTGGAACCAAAAAACCTCTATCAATATCGTGCCGGGGACAGCGCTTAAAAGTGCGCTATAAGCGTTTATGAATGAGATATTTCACTATCTCCTCCATCTCTTCTGTCATGCAGCAATATGGTCATCCACTGGGAAATTGGCATCCCTTTACTTGGAAGCTGCAGAAAGCAATTTATCCCTATAATAATAGTTCTATAAATAAGCAAAGTACGTAAGGAAAACCCAACGAATACTCGTAGAATTTTGATGAATACTGGAGAATGCCAGTCATTCCAGGATTTTGTACGATATGGCAAATTCAAACGCTCTTGAGGTCCATCTTTGTTTTTAAGTGCTTTTGTGTTTCGTTCTGAGCTAGGAATTTAATATTCGAAAAGGTCATAAAGGAATAGATGAAAACGAGAAGAAGAGCTAGCGAAAATCAATACTAATACACCATGGTAACCTAAAGACTAGTTGTTGGAGTACTTGCAGGATATTGAGCTTCATGCATTAAAAGTGAGCTTAACTCTGACTCGATTTTCAGTACAAATTCTTAAGCTTGAGCTCACTCGATCATTGCAAAATTTGAGTCTGAGCTGGAGCTAACTTTTTATGTATGAGGTCCATTGTCTCGAACCATCTGTCGAGGCGAAACTGCGATCAGTTTAGAGCAGAGTGGCAAAAATTTAGCATTCAATGGGAGCTTGGAACAGCTCCTCTACCACTGAGTTCTGCATTACATGGATACTATTCCTAGCATTGCCAGAGGAATCTTACTGAGCAAAACCTTGCTAGTGAGAAGTCTGTTTAAATTATCACCTATCAGCCGAGCCTTTGTTGATATAAACCATCTAGAGTTCGTTGGTTTTTTTGCTGCTAGGACCGATCTTAGTTAAGCAAACTTCTTAGTACTAGGTTGGGTTAGCTTAGATAAACTGGCTAGCCACTGCGTGGTTTCTCAGAGATCATTAAGATCTCTAGCGTTACCAGATAAACTACGACCACATTAGCCAACTTATCACTGATTATCAGGAGCAATGTTAAAGAGCAACGCAGTCGTCTTTTGCAAACTAAAACACTTATTCACACTGCCTCAGTGTTGCCGTTGTGCGACTAAAGGGGCAATTTGACCCTTTTTAAGCGGCAATACCCTTTGATCGGACTTTTTGAAAATTTTGATTTTTAGACTCTTTTCAGAATTTTTTTTTTAGGATATGTTAACAGAACCATGCTACTAA